GATAGGCTTTCTTAACCATAGTGGTTATACTGCGCTTTTGTGATGCAAAAGTCACTTCACCACAAACATAGCAGAAGTTATCTGCACTGTTCACACAAGTACGAGGCATCTCTGCTCACTTTGGCTAAACAGAAATGTGTCCCTTTGCAAAATCAAACCCTGACAAATAAGAGAGCACAACACTGTATGATTTCTAGAGCTGATATAGGGCAATTTGTTCAGCAGAGTGATGTAAGCTTCGTTATGATTGCATCATCCATGACTTCTAGGAATAACATGATGCAATTCATATCATGTATGACACAATACCAGCTTCAGATTGCATCATTCATTGTTTTGCCTAAAAAGCAAGTACTGTCCAAACTCAGTCATAGATTTATTCATAGATCCAGTCAAAGATGTATTTTTGTCATTTCTGGTTTAAATTGAGATCCCTTCCCTTTATAACTCACTTATCCTCCGCCATTCCCAAGTCAAGGGTCGTATATACTGACCCAATAGCATATCTTGAAAACTAGAGCCAATCAACAATTTTAAGCATCATTTTCGTTCTCAGTGACCCAGAATTAGTAAAGTTTGACTACATTTATTTCAGAAGCATTTGGCTTTAGAGCAGTGATATTAGAGAGACAAGGTAGGGGAGGGAATATCTTTTATTGGACCAACTTCTGCCTGTTCACCTTGAATGGTCTCTTAGAATAGGTGCAAACTACTCACACTAAACTATCTGTTCCACCTTGTTATAGCTGGGACACTCTGAGTACCTTTCCCACACCTGAAGAACTGCTCCATGTAGCTCGAAAGCTTGTCACTCTATCCACCAGTAGTTGGTCCAATAAAAGATATCTTGCCCCCAACTTGTCTCTCTCTCTGTGTATATGTAAGACAGTAGGTGGTAGAGAGAGGGGGAATCAGGAGCTGCTCTTCCTCTCTCTCACTACACTAAAACAAGGGACATGCAAGGAAGTGAAAGGTGGCAAATAAAAACAAGGAAATACTTTCCCACAAAACAAGTAATTAAACTGTGGAACTCACCGCGGCAGGATTTTGTTGAAGCCAAAACCTTAGCAAGATTCAAAAAGGGTTTGGACATTTTTCTTGGTATCAAAAGCACCCAGAGTTACCAGAGTTAATGACCACACACATTTTGGAAGGGAGAGTGACCCCCATGGCTCGGGGTTTAAGCCAATCTCTGTTAGAGATAAGGATGGGACGCAGGGTGTGAGGGGAAGATTATCCCATATCCCCCTCATGAGAGATTCTCACAGCTTCTTCTGAAGCATCTGGTGCTGGCAACTGCTGGAGACAGGTTACTGGGCTAGATGGACCCGGCTCTGATCCAGTCTGGTGGTTCCCATGTTCCTCTACCAAGGAGCAGAGTTGACCTGCTGCACAGCCCCTATGTACTGTGAGAATTGATGTTTAACCACAAATGGAGCTGGCACTATCCAAAAGTGAGCTGCTGATTTGGGAGGCCCCCAACCTGGGACACACCTCAGCCAAGATTTCAAGAGGTGCTGAGCACTCGCAGGTACCACTCTCTGCCACTGGAGTGGCGGGAGCTCAGCAGCTGTGAAAATCCAGACCCTGGATGACTCCAGCTCAGCATCCAAACAGGAGCGCCGGATAGGGATGCCAACTTTCCAATTGCAGAGAACTGAACACGCTTGCCCTGCCCCTCCCCTTCTCCGAGGCCCAGCCCCCGGCTCCCTCCATCCCTGCTCCCTCCCTCACTCGCTCTCCCCCGCCCCTGCTCACTCGCTCATTTTCACCGGTCATGGCAGGGGGTTGGAGGTGCAGAAGGAGGTGAGGGCTCGGGCTGGGCGTGCAGGCTCTGGAGTGGGGCCAGGAATGAGGGGCTTGGAGTATGGGAGGGGATTCTGGGCTGAGGTAGGGGGTTGAGGTGCAGGACAAGTTTTGGGGTGCGGGAGGTGCTTACCTCAGAGGCTCCTGGAAGCGGCCCACATGTCCCTCTGGCTCCTAGGCGGAGGCACAGCCAGGAGGCTCTGCCTGGTGTCTACTGTCCCATCCAGAGGCGCCAACCCCACAGCTCCCATTGGCCATGGTTCCCGGCCAATGGGAGCTATGGAGCTGGCGCTTGGGGTGGGGAGAATGTGGGGAGCCCCCTGGCCACCCCCTGCCTGTGGTCGGACATGCTGGCGGCTTCTGGAAGCCCCGCAGTGCCAGCGTAGGCAGGGAGCCTGCCTTAACCCTGCTGCACCGCCATCCAGATTTTTAATGGCCCGGTCAGAGGTGCAGACCAGAGCCACCAGATGAGCTGTCCTGATTGCTTCTGTCAGCGAGGGGCTGAGTCAGGGAATTTGTCTTCTCAGCACAGACTTGATTGGCAGCAATAGTAAAGGGCGCCAGGAGAGAAGGCTGCCATCGGCCTGTTTGACTCTCCCTCCATTACTGTCTGGGCATCAGGGACCACAGGTCTTTTGGGTCAGTTTACAGGGCTCTTAGGCGCTAGAACACACCTCTGACAAAGTGGGTTTTTCCTCCTTATTATGTTGTACGCGAGCCTATTTGAGTCTTACAGTTTTGCATGAATACTGTGTATGCCTCAGTTTCCCCGTGTGCTACACCAATGCCTAGGTGGTGGGAATATGGGTGTGTGACTTTTGCTGAGGCCTTCAGGGCCAGGTGAGGCGGCTCCAGCTGCCTGCACGTAAGCTATGGCTGACGCCCTTAGTTACCTGAGACCCAGAAGGGGGATGCGACCAGGTGACACTTTGCCC